TATGTATATATGATTTAATGGTTGCGGGTAAACGGGTAAAGTAATCGGGTCGGGTGATGGGTTTGCCTACTGTACCCCGACCCGACCCGACCCGAGGTTCAGGTAGCATAATTCTACTCTAACCCGACCCGAAACCCATTCACCTCGGGTTTACCTGACCAAAAAGTACAGGTAACCCGACCCTACAGATTTTTTTGACATCCCTAAACAGGAATAACAGTAATCTTGAGATTGAGCTGAAAATCAAAAAGCGACTAGTCTTAATAGCAAACAGATGGGTCTGCCAATCAAAGGAATGTAGCATATTTGGATTCAAGAAGTGTACTAAACCTTCCAAAGCCCAGCTCAAACATTAATCCCGCACACGCAGCCACGTTTCACTAATTAGTTACACATGTCCCGATTTCTCTCTTCCACGTGGCTAAAACTCTGTTTGCGGTGCTTTGCGACAAACTGGCCTTGTTTCGCTTATTCTCAGGATCTCCCCCAACAACATCGTACGTTTACATAAAAGTTTCCCAATAATGCATCTGCATCACAGCCACTCATAAAAATAAAAAAAATTCGTAAATTTTTTTTTGCAGAAAAATAAACGGGAAGTTAACTACAAAAATGTCAGGCGCGTCATCCGTAGGCGGCGTGGCTGTTCCTCCTTCGGCGAGTTCGGCCGGCGGCGGTGTCGGCGTTATGGGATCCCTCCGCGTAATCGAGCTCCAGCTGGTGGCTTTCATCATGGTCTTGTGTGTCAGTGGACTCATCCCCCTCCTCGACATGGTTTTCCCCGCCGCCGCCTCCCTCTATTTCCTGGCCCTGTCCAGGTTCGCCTTTCCCGGGTTCAATAGTAACAATAATAATCGAATCAACGACAACATGGCCGAGAGTACGGGCAGGTTTTTCAGATTTTACGTGATTGTGGGGATGACGGTGGGGCTGTTCCTGCCGCTGGCGTACGTCCTGGGCGGTTTCGCAAGAGGGGACGAGCACGCGGTCAGGTCGGCCGCCCCGCACCTCTTCTTGCTCTCCTTCCAGATACTCACCGAGAACCTCATCACGGCTCTCTCCCTCTTCTCGCCCCCGTTGAGGGCCTTAGTCCCCGTGCTCTACACGGTTCGCAGGATCTTTGTCCTGCTCGATTGGACTAAAGATGTTTGGATGAACAAAACCCTCCCTGCTAATGCCCCCTTGGACGTACGTGCATTTAAAGGAAATGCTACGGTCATGTTACGGGACCATTCTGTCGGTTTGTAATCGTTATATCATCATGTGATCGTCGGGAATAGTTGATCTAACAGTTGTAAACTCCGACAGAATGGTTCCGTAACAGAACCGTAACATCTCCAATAATTAATTAATTCACAGCGATTTGCTTTTGACGTTCATCTTGAATAATTGATTGTTGCAGGTGCTTGTGTGGTATTGGTTTGGAAGGGGTCTTTCGATGGCGAATCTGGCGTATTTTTCGGTCAACTTGTTCTGTTTTCTGATTCCGCACTTCCTTCCGGCGGCATTCGAGAGGTATTTCAAGGAGAGGGATGAAATTCACATGAAGATGGCCGAGGATAAGCCTTCGCCAGCCTCAAACAGTACCTCTATGGACTCGAATAAAAAGGCGAATTGATTCGCCATGTAATTGGAGCTTCTGGCTACTATATATAGCATTAGTGTACTTTCTAGAGATCACTTGCTACCAGTTTGTTTCTTTTTTTTTTT